GGTGCTTAACAAATGCTTGTTACACTGAGAATGAAGTTAAATTAATGTGGGTCAAATTAACGCTGTAGTTACAGACTATAGTTGGTCTTTCTTTTTCGACTTAGTTGAAAACACACCTTGGAAAACTTGAAAAAGTGCCTTTGACACTGATGTGGGTCAAATGGCAGAAATGCTAATTTATTTTTTGGAATTGTTTACATTGTATTACTATTGTTACAGCGTTAGAAGTCTACTGTATAGAAGTTTGTTTTGTTTTTAAAACGTTTTGGTCTTATCTCATAGCTGTTCAACATGAGAGGGGCCCCCGGACGTCCACCATCCGTAAACAGGTGGCCCTGTACTTTAGGGGCCACAAAGAGGTGAACGGAACCTCCACACATTTCTCTGGATCTTCTCTGGCAGGACCTCCCTTCTTCACCACCGTCACACAACTGGAACCTCACAACCTGGAGATAAGTTCTGTGACTACGACCCCAGAGAGACAGGCCATGGTGGGTCTGGCTCAGCCCACACCAAAGGTACACACCATCATGTGGATTTTTTGTATCCTATGACTTATCTTTGGCTGTTTTTTTTTCACGTGTTTTAATAGTTTGGTCAACATAAAAGTGTGAACCTAAAATAAATGATCTTTTGATCATTTTCAGCAACTTTTAGCCATTTTGGCCTTTTTAGCTGTTGGACATATTTGTTGATGAAATGGTTTCACCATTAAATATTTATCTTTTTACAACAATTTTCTAATTTTTAATATTTCTGATCAAATTTAAGGTTATTTTAAAAATATATTTTTATAGATTTAAATTAAATAGAAACATTTCTAGGTTCACTTTGATCCAGATTTTAGTTTATTCTTTATTACTGTTGTTTGGTTAAAACAAGATCTTTTTTAAGTTAAGTGAGTGTTTTATCAGATGTGTATCTGTTACTTTGAGCATTTTTTAATCATATTAATATTTTATAATCGTAGTTAAATCCTCATATTTTTAAATGACCTTTTTTCAGCTTTTGGACTAACTAGTTTTCTGACCTCAGCATATAATGGATTACTCTGAAGTTTTTCACTTAAGGATTCTTAACCCTTCTCTGTGTTAGGTCTAAACCTTCTCAAAAGTGAATGTTTTAAATTTAAATTAAATTAAAGTAAAGATAAATTAGTATAAGTTACTATGAATGATTATAACTAAAGTAAAGATTTTTTTTTATCTGAGGTCAGAGGGAAAAAAATTAAAATATTTTGCTCATGGTATCCAAGGGATATTTGTATCAGGGAGGGATATAGTGGAGTTTCTTCAACAAGTTACAAGGTGGAATTCCTGTTTAGATTTTCAGGCTGTTTACAGCTACAAATCCTCTAATTAGAGCAGAGTTTTCACACTAAAGCCATCGCCAACAACCACCACAGCCCCGTGGAAGCCTGAGCTGAATTGGTTCGTTGTTATGAACAGTGTCACTCTGACTCAAACGACCTTTTTATCCTTTCATTTCTTGCAGTATCCCCACGAAGTCAGCGCCACCCCCATGTTCCTGTACGAGGTGGCCACGGAGTCCGTGTGTGAGTCTGCGGCGCGTCTGCTCTTCATGAGCATCAAGTGGGCAAAAAGTGTTCCAGCCTTCTCCACGCTGCCTTTATCTGACCAGGTACACTGTCATTACCATCAACAGCCATGATGACACGACTACACAGACAGACAGATGTTAGAGGTCACAGCGCCACTCTGCGTAAAATGGAATAATCCACGTATTACACACGTGTGCCTCTTGCTCTTCACTGCTTAAATGCACAAATAACGTGTTTTATTCTGCATCCTTGTTCAACATTTAACACTGGAACGACTTCTATTTAACAGCTGATTCTGCTGGAGGACGCCTGGAGGGAGTTGTTTGTTCTGGGCATCGCGCAGTGGGCCATTCCCGTGGACTCGACCACTCTTCTGGCCGTGTCTGGTGAGTTAAACTCGCCCCAAACTGTTTATGGTTGAATCAAACCGCAGCACACCGCACTATCCTGCAGCGTAATGACGCCTCATTGTTTATGAACAGGACTGAACGGCGAAAACACAGAGAGTCAGCGCATGAACAAAATCATCTCTGAGATCCAAGCACTGCAGGAGGTGGTGACCAGATTCAGACAGATGCGTCTGGACGCAACAGAGTTCGCCTGTTTAAAATGTATCGTCACGTTTAAAGCCGGTGAGTGTTGCTGTCTGTGGTGTTTGGCCTAAAACTGGTTCAAATGTTAAATAATACTATAAATAACACTCCTCACTTTTTTAAAATTTCAGGGCCAGTATTTTATTTTTCATTAGTTATTAAGTTTATGGCCGCTAAGGCTAACTATTAATATCCGTGGTAAGCTATTTTTTCATTTTTATTTGAAACATCTTTGGGTTAACTTTAGTTATGATTCGGCAGCTATTACAGCTACTTTACTGAGCAAACTAGTTAGCAAGTGTATCTAAATGTAAAATGTTTTCTGGCTTGTGTCTACTTATTCCTGAAGTTTTAACATCTAACTCAGGATAACAGGAGTCTTTCTTCCTCCTCTAGTTCCCACGCATGGCAGCACTGAACTGAGAAATTTCCGCAACGCCAGCGCCATCGCCGCACTCCAGGACGAGGCGCAGCTCACACTCAACAGTTACATTCACACCAGGTGAGCCTGAGCACAGACTGCATGTCAACTGAAGAGGCTGCAGCGCAAAGAAGCTCTTATATGCAGCACTCTCCGCAGCCATTATTCATTATGAAGTCAATGAGGCAATAAGACGCAGTTGTCTGCTGGTAATTTTGCACAGGTGCAAGAGAAGGAGCACGTTTTCAATCAGCTGCAATTTTCGCACAGATGTTGCAGTAATTGGCGAGGCTATCTGAAGCTCAAAAATGTTGTGATTTTTTCCTGTGTGCAAGAGATTATTGTTATACATAAGCAAAAACTTGCGCGTAAAATATGATTTTGGCTCAATCCTTGGACTTTTGCGCACGTTCTCCATATGTTCGCGCACACGTTCAGGATGAAGATGGATTTTTAGAAGAGAAACAAACATGGTAGTTTTTCTTTTTTTCGTAGTAGTAGTGGTCTAAAGCTGTTGATGTTTTCCCAGGTACCCGACTCAACCCTGTCGCTTCGGCAAACTTCTCCTGCTCCTCCCTGCTCTCCGCTCAGTCAACCCGTCCACCATTGAGGAGGTGTTCTTCAAGAAAACCATCGGAAACGTTCCCATCACCAGACTTCTTTCCGACATGTACAAGTCCAGTGATATATGAGTTTCCATCACTCTATGGTGACATGGAGAAAAGGCCGAGAGCTCCAGAGTCCTGCAGCCGTCATCGACCGTGGAAGTCACGGTCACAGCAGATGTTACAAACAAAGATCTTCACCACAGGCTGTTCATAGACTTCACTAAAACAGAGACTGCGCCGCCGTCACAGTAGCCTGTTTACAGTCGCTCTAGTAAAGGATTGGTCTGTAATTTTCATTGTAGAAATGACTTGAAATGATCGCGAAAGCTGCAGTGAGAAACGAAGTCTGTTTTCGGCGAACTTTTGTCATCGGCGGATAAAGACGCGTTTGAATATAAAGAAAATCTCGGAAGACCAATGAGCTTGATGACCAATTAAATCTTCTTATTGCTTTGTTCAATCGCCAATTGGAAACCAAAAACAAAGATGGCGCGGGTGTAACGGAGCGACGTGAGTCGCTGTCCCGTCTTGCAGTGCTGAAACCAAACGCACGTGCAGGACAACATGTGGAAATGACAACTCAGTGAGTGAAGACTTTTAAAGGACAATGTTAAAAGTACCTTATTTGAAGACGATGTCTGTATTTAAGTGGTTTCCGTCCTGTTTGTGTCGGTGTGTCCCGTTTTAAGAAAAAACAAAAACAAAACAAACATTACTTTAAATGTGAGGTTAGACACTAACACTGGATTTAAAAAAAAAATCAGCACTTGCGAATGTTATTTGTGAGTTGTGGTGTTTTTATGCTGTTGTAAATATATCTAGAATTGTAACTGAGAGAATAAAATAAAGTGAAGTGAACCTTTTTTTCATTCAATATTAAATCTACCAGTGGACGGAACTCAGTGTTGATGCCTGCTGACAGAGAGAGCTACCGTTTGGCCACCCTGGTTTGGAAGAGACTAATCAAATATTGGTCTCCCTGATTCCTTTAATACAGAGCAAATATTTTCAACAGAGAGTAATTGCTATGTATTATAATAGACAACACATTTTTAAAACCACCAATCTTATTAAGTGTTCTCAGCAGATTTAGCAGCTTCAGGTAATCCAAGTATTGTTTGTCACAATTTGTTAAAATAAGGTCAAATCTGGAATTCACCTTCCAGTTAATCATCAGAAACACTATGTACACAAAGTATACTTTTAAATCAAGAAGAAATAAAAAACAGTCACTGACCACAGTGGAGTTGCCTCTGATTGAAGGGAGAGGCCGATGACCCATGGAACACCATCCTCAGAGAAACATCAGGTAGAAGTCGTATAAGGCTGTGAAGATGCTAAATCTCCAGATCTGGGAATGTTGTGGAAAGAACAATAACAAAGATTAAACAAAAGTGAGATGGATTTAGTTAATAATTTCTGTTATATGATAAAGCTGTACTTTAGAATACTTTGAATGCTTTTTCCTTTTGATGTAATATCCAATGAAAATGTCTCATTGACAAGATATAGAGCAACACATAAATATCTGAATTACACATTTTGCCTGGTGTTAACGTATCTTAACTTGAATAAAATAATGTAGTAAATATCTGAATTACACAATTTTGCCTGGTGTTAACGACAAAAGGACTCCGTATCTTAACTTGAATAAAATAATGTAAGAGTTCAATTATTATTTATTTTGTAAATCAAAAAACCTCAACCTTATACACACCTGTGGGTAAATAACCTCTTTAAACAAAGAAATAAACATCAGTGCATGTGTTAAATAATTAATGTAACAGCAAAGTGTGAGGAATGACTGTAGCATCTGGAACATCGGTTGAGAATCAAACAGCACATAGAAAAAAACCCAAACCCTGAAATGTTGTTCCGTTTCACCTTTTTTTTTTATTGGAAAATCTTAGGAATAAACAAACAAACAAAATGATGGCACAGCAGTGTACAAATCTCAAAATGCATATAGACTGTAGAAAAACTGCAGTTCCTTCTGTGTAAATTAGGTCTCTTCTGCTAGAAAAATCACTGATAATTGCTGGTTCGTATACACACACCCACACATATACACACACGTGCTTCTGTTCAACGAGAGGGTCAAATGTGTGTGATTCCAAAGTGAAAGCCCATCAAATATCTGTCTTCAGATGTTTTATGTGGTGGGCAACATGCCATTGTTGTATAGATACTGTATATATATATATATATTAGACGCAAAATGTTTGTCTTTACAAGAGCTCTGTATACATAGAAGACTAATTTAATAGAATTATATCAATGAACATATTCAAGATGTAGCTAAATGATAAATACATAATATCTCTGAGTTAGTGGCATTTTTTTTTTTAGACACGAAGAGAAATTCCTCTGAACCACAGATGTGCGGTGAACATCCTAGACTCCAAATATAAAGTGAAAACATACACACGTCATGTTCACGCAAAAAAACTAAAAGAGGCATTATTCTGGAGGAAGCGAGGAGGGGAGATGCTCTGTGAAATGTTTTTGTGTCTGAGAGGAACCTGGAGCAATGACAAGAGCTTTGGGTTGTCCCATCGAGCCGGATCACATTCTCTGTTCAGGCTTGTCTGACTTTGGACGGAGTGTAGTTCTTGTCCACGCTCTCGTCCTGTAGGAACATGTGCAGGCATCGTTCGTTCTGGGCCAGAGGGTGACCGGCCACTCTGAAACACACATGAACACAGGTTAAAGGGCTGAACCCCAAAACCACAGAGGACAAATAACAACGCAAGTCTAAATTTCTACACATAGACTGGTGACGTGATGGAGCGAGTGTTCACGGAAAGAGAAAACAAGATCCGGTTTCTTCACAGAAATTATTTAGGCTATTTCAATCCCGTTCAGCACGTTCTAAATAACAAATTACAAATGACAAATTCTAATCAAACTCTTTCGTTTCTGATAGTAATAAAATTAGTTTACAAAGCACGAGATAATACCAAAGTTAAAATGATATTAACCCTTTCACCTCTATTCAAAAAAGTTAGTTGTCTACCTGTTCTCGCTGAGCATCAGCGGAGCTCAGTCCTGCCACTAGGGTCTTGGTAATATATCCAGGATTGATCTGGACTCGTCACTGAATCTTCCTGTGGAGCCGAGTTGACAATGTGTGCCTTCTAACCTCTCATATTTCTTGACAATACCTTGCACAGTTCAACTGGCACTGAACATTTTATGACAGGTCCTCACTGTGCTCTTCAAGATCGCCTGGTGTATAATGACCTTAACTTAAACTTTGCAAAATGAGTAACACCCAGGAAACAGTAACACAGTTCCATTTCACCGATTTTTGGCAAAAGAACATAGTAACATTTCATGGTTTGTTATAATGATTTCTTTTGACACAGTACAAATACATAGTGTTATTGTTTATAAAGTAATAGGAATAAAGTAAAAAGAAATAAAACTTTGAATATTCTGTGTCTGTATAACATACATATGTAAACACACACAAATTCTCAGTTTGTTGTGAAATAAATGTTTCCTTGCACAAAGCAAAATAATGTGAACTTAAACAAAGTAACCGTGGCAAGACATATGTTAAAAATGTTTGATAACAGTAACATCAGCTACCAACTAACAAGGATCGGGCCATTTTTCTGTTTAACCAGTGTGTCTCAGTACAGGTGCATGTTACTGCTCCATTAAAAAAACCCACTAGATTTTGACCATCTTATTTCCTGTTGAAGCCACCCTGACATCAATTTCTCTGAGATGACGCACATGATCCTAATAGGCATCAGTCAATGCAGCTGAGACTCTTCCCTATTCAATTTTACAGCACATTTCTCAGAACAAATCAATATGTTGCCTGCTTAACATGAAGTAAAGTGAAAAATATTTCAGTCATGTTTCACTGCCAACAAGGCAGCGCCAAGCTCAACACTGTGGTCGCTCGATGAAAATGATATTACAAATATCACCTAATGTGCTACCACTATTCCTTTACCTGAGTCTAAAAACAGGACCATTGCGACTTCTCTTCCTCCTTGGTTGTTATGAAGTGAAAATTCTTTGGAAAAATTCCCTCGCCACAATGCTCTCAATCACAGATGAAAACAATGCTGGCAGAAACATTGGCTCGTATTAAAAACGAACAATGATATGATCAACGACAGTGTTTCATTCACTGGAGCCAAAGGGGCAGAGCGTAATTGACAACAGAGTCTCATCTTCGGTAGAAAACACAACAAA